AATGGGCTGCTGAAGACCCGGATGTGTCTGGGACTGGCCGAGGTACCCATTAACGCGCCCCCGCTAGACCATCCCCCTCCTCCGTTTAGCATTGGGTCTTATGCACGCCAATCATCACTTCTCCAGCCACTCACTCTTCAAGGGTGGGGTGTAGTCCCAGCATCCTGTCTCCTATTGGTAGGGCCGAGGAGAAGAGGGCGGGGAGGCCGGCTTAGGTCGCCCAATGGGCGTCGTGGCGTGTGGGGAAGGCGGAGCCGAGGCGCTTGGCAGCTGCCCAATCAGCGTCCTTGTTTGTGTGGTGCCGCCGCCGCCGGTGCAGCCGCCGCCGCCGCCGCTGCCCCCGTCTGTACCGCAGTGTCTGCTCCGCCCCCCGCCCCCGGGCCCGTCAGCGGGGTCCGGAACCCACTGTGCCGTCGCCTCTTCGTTTTTCGACGCCTCCGCCGCCGCCTGAGGAGGCGAGCTAGCCAGGAGTTACACCGCCAGCGCCAGGTGAGGAGCTTTGGCCTAGGCCAGCCTGGCCGCCCGCCCGCCCGGGGGCGGTGAGGAGCGAGGAAGGGAGGGAGGCTGGGAGGAGGCTGTGGTGGCGGAGGTGGGGGAAGGGAAAGGTGGAGGGGCGGGGGGGAGGGGAAGCGCCCGCGAGCCGACGCCCGCCCGCGCGCCCCCGCCTTGCGTCCCCCTCCCCCCACCCCGGCACCGCGCGCCCCCGCCTCGCGCTCCCCCTTCACCTCATCCCTCCCCACCCCTCCGAGCGCGCGCCCGGGTCTTTCGCTTCGGCCTCGCGCGCCCCCAGCTCGTGTCCCTTCATTTCTTCTCCTTTTACTCTTTTTCCCCTCCCTCGCGCCCCGTTTCCCCCGCCATCCCCGCCTTCACTCCCTGCCTCATGCCCGCCATGCTCCCCTCCTTTCCTCTCTCGCGCGGCCCCCCCTTTTAACTCTCTCCACCCCCAGTGGTGCCCTCAGGGTGCGGGGGCCGCTCCCTGCTCTCAGTCTCGTGTTTGCCGGCGGTTGGGACAAACGGGGGATCCTTGAGGCTGAAGGAAGCATGGGATAATTGTCCTTATTTAGGTAAAGGGATCGGGAGCGCAGAACCTTACCCCTTTATTTCGTCGTCCACCGTTCCCTCGCCCTCCCGCAGGAGCAGGGAATTGTCTCAGCCCGTGTGGGTACTTATCTTCAGTAGCGACTGAACCACCCCTTTCCGCGGCTGGGCTTCTGGCACAGGCTGCATCTGTATCCCAGTTCAGTGCCTGAGGGTCGATGGAACTAGAACTTACCCTTCCCTAACCAAACCAGGACTTAGAGTACTTTTTGTTTCCCTGCTCTCAATTACACCGAGGAGCTAGCCACTCCGGTGAGTGCAGAGGTTTGGGTGCCGTTCGCCGGCCCGGGACAGTTTTCTCCCTTCATAAAGGTAGAGTAGCCTTTTTGGACTCTTCTCCAGCATGAACTTCGCTCCAAACACAAGATATTAGCTCATAGGGCTGGCACTGAGGTGGGGATGGAGGCATTGATGGTGGGTGGGTGGCATGAGGATGCTAACTGAGCTAGCTATCAACCTTTTCTTCTGCTGTCATCTGGAGAATCAGGTAGCCTCCGGAGAACCAGTTTTCTCATTTCTGATAAATGATTATTTGGAGAGCTTTTGTGTGCGTATGAGAGAGCTGGGAGATACTTAATATATTTCATCAAAGGAAGAGAGTGGTGCTTTCAGGCCAGACTACCACAGAGATTTGGACTTGTAGCAGCTGAAATAAAGCAGATTTAACAGATCTGTGTTGGAGAGATGATGCTTTTGAGATTTTTGAAACATTTTTATTTCTAAAAATTTATGTTTTGAGTGGACAGTGCATCGTGCATGGGATACAGAGTGTAAAAAGAAATCTTCCCTCTCACCTCTCTCCTCCAGCCATCCAGTCCCCCTCCCAGTGCAGACAACTTCTAATTGTTTTCTGGCAGCAGCATGGTGTCTATATGTTGGTGTCTGTATGTTGGAGATTAACCTATTTGGGAGTTTCGTGCTAGCTTTATTGCTCTTTCTTTGATACACTGACCTAAACTCTTCCTTGAGCTCTGATAACCACTTAGATTTATATATTTGGTGTTGGAGCGAACTCTTGATAGAGTACTGTCCTGGAGTGGCATTTGTCTCCGTACTTGGTTGGGAAGGAGGCTACTTCTGGAGCTGTTAAAGGTGGTGCTGTGGATGGGCTCAGTAGATTTTGTGGGAAGGGCCACATCTGTTGGAAATGGTGCTGCTTTTTTTTTGTGACCAATATCCAGTCTGTTTTGGGATGCGCTGGGGCAAGGATAGTCTTTCCTTGGGCTTTTTAAGAGGATAGGTTGTATGAATAATGAGTTAATGGGAGTACTGATCTGCTTGTGCTGTCTTCCGTTTTTAGAGGAATGTAGTTTTTAGTGTAGTGGTATTCATCGTGTTAAGGAATGAAGTAGATAAGTATTAATCAGCAGGAATCAGAAGACTGGACCAGTAGGCTGAGTGACCCAGTTTGAGAAGAGATGAGGCTTTTATGGACTTTTGTCCTGCCTATTCCTTACTTGGGAACACTTTCCATGAGGTGAGAGTGATTTGTAACTGACAGCAGCATCCATCTTTATGACACTGTGGTTTGCCTCTGACTGTGTGATGTCTGTTAACTTCCTGTTTAGAGGCAGTCCAAATAGGGTCTGAGTAGTGGCTGCATTCAAATACTTGTCTGGGAACAATGTTAACCAGGTTCCCTGATCAGCCCTTGAAATCTAAGTTCTGGCAGTAACTTTTACTGCTGTGTTTAGCATAAGGCCACAAGGTGGTGGGGGAGGGAGATGTGAGAAATTTGTTCTGAACCTCATAGACTTTGAGTACATTCAAAAGCCTGTGTGCTGCTCCCCGTCTATTGATTTGGGCAGATCCCCCGCACCCTCCCTTTTTTTTTCTGGCTGGGCCTGGCCAGACCTCCAGGTTGGGTTTTGGTTAGAGAATAGCAGTGTGGAAGAAGACTCAATGTAATAGTATCCTAATCATAGGTTGAGACCTCTGGATTCATCCTAGCTTGAAGCAATATATTGTTATGCTGTAAGTAAACCAGGCCTCTTGTTTCAATTTACTGATTCTTCCTTCCTTACCTCCCCCACCCACCAAGCTGGAGGTGCATGTGTAGGGGAACAGCAGCTGTGCTGTCCTGGTTTCTAGGTTCTGGAGCATATTCCATGTTAGCCACCCTGTTGAAAGTCATGCTGACAGGCAGCCCCTCTGCACTCAGCTCAGAATGCTCATGTTTGGTTCATTGAGAAAAACCAAACCAGCTTTCACTGATTAAAACAACTGCTAGAGAAGTCATTAAGATTTGAGCCATAAGTGGGACTGAGGGACTTTGTTTTCCAGACCCTTTGCAGTACTTAAAGCCGTGCATCATTACATATCAAGGCACAATAGCCAGGCATTATCTGAGGCAGTTTGGAGGGGAAGAAAAAAAAAAAAAGACACACACCCAGATTGACTATAAATCTAATCCTGGCGTAAAACTGTCCACCTCTTGCTTAGGAAAAATCCAGCCTATCAGACAATGCCACACAAAGTTGCAGTTCCCCTGCATTGGCTAAGCCTGGGAAAAGATACATAAGGAAGTACAGTTTCTGTTGAAAAGGACTGGCTTTTTGGGGGGAAGCTGCTATTAGCAATACGGTGTGGTGTATCCTCAGTAATCCCTGTGATGCTTTTTCTGTAGGTGCTGGTTGGGGATTTTGGTGGCTCCAGAATTGCATGAGGCAGAGAGCCTCCTGTATTTGTGTGGTAGTGGTGAAAGCCTCTGAAGAGAGGATCTGATTTGAAATACTCCCTCCTCATGTTCTTTTACCTTCTGTCTTATGGATATATGAGATATGCCTATACGGTTTGAGTTCATCTAGTAGGAAAGGAGTGACCTAGGGTCATTAAGGGCTTAACCTGTCTGATACACTTATTAGATGGTGTCTTGGTAATATTTGGTGTCTCCCTCGAAATCCTCTAATCTTTGCCATTGCCTTAAGTTGCCATCAGCTGGCAAGAAGCTGTCAAGTTTTGGGTTATAGTACCAAAAGCAACAGATGAATAAGAACACATATTTTGTTACTTTTGAGGTATGAAATGGTCAAATCCCAGACTTCAGAGTCCTAGTAATTGCGGAAGCTTCTTTGACAACATGTAAACTTAATTGTTATTAATACTAATCAATAAAGCTACTAAGGAAAGTGATAGTACTTCCACATTCCTAAGCCATTCTCTTGTTACTTTTTAAATCTGGCTAGTATACATTTTTTAAATAATTCAAGTTTACCATTACTTGAACCTGAAAGTCATGCTTTAAGCCTCCCAATCAAAGCTTTCTTGATCTTGTCTCATTTTGGGGGAAGGTGGAATTTGTAATCTCCCAAATTATAGGCTGGAATCTTAGTAGGATTTAGATTAGACATCAGGATTAATAAATCCCCATTATGGTTGTGAGGGATTAGAAATGTTAACTGGAGAGTTTGTGCATCTCTTACCTAAAAGGTATTTATAAGGTTAAAGCTTTTTGAGAGTATTTAAATTCAGACTTCCTGAAAGGGACGTCCTGGGCTATTAAGTGGCCAATTGGAATGGTAGAACACAGGTGTAGAGAGTCTAGAAATCCTGGGTCAGATCCTCGCTTTGCCATTTATTAGCTATATAACTTTGGGTAAGGCTCCTAATTTTGGGATTCCCACTTTTGTCAGAGTAAAAGCCAGTCTTTACAGTGGTCTATAAAGTCTTACATGGTCTACCCTTCTCCACCCCTTATCTTGTTGATCTCCTGTCATCCTCCCTCTTGCTTACTCCATTCCAGCCACATTGACTTGTTCCTTAAATACATGAGTGGGAAATAGCTAGTTTTTCCCACAGAGATAATACAAATGACTAATTTCCTCACCTCCTTCAAGTCTTTGCTTAAATGTCACCTTTTCAGTGAGACTTTATCCTACCCCTACTTGAAATTGCACCTTCACCTCCCACCTCTCACTCCTAGTCCTTCTCTGTTCTGTTTTCTTTTTCATAGCACTTACAACTTTATAACATACTTATTTGTTACATCACAAAAGAGGAACCAATAAGCAATAAATGTAAGGTCTATGAAGGCATGGATTTATTTTGGTGTTTTTTTAATGCCTAGTACAGTGCCTGGCCTATAGTTAATACTCAGTAAATATTGTTGATCAAATAGGAATAATAATAATTGTTTTCCTAACCTCATATTTATAACAAAAGTATGAAATGTGATAAACATAGTATGGGATATTAAAATGTTTTGTGAACTTGGAAGCTTTATACAAATGATGGTAAAACAATTGCCTTCCCATTGAAATGGTAAATAACACTTGATTATTGAAAAAAATCTTCATATGTATTCACATATATTATTACATCTCTCCTAATCTCCAGCCCCTTGTTTCTGCTTGTCTACTGTGTGCTAGATATATTCACCTCTGTATTCAATTGGTACCTCAGACTCAACATTTTCAGCATCTGTTCCCCTTCTGTGATTCATTGAGTCACCTAAGCCAGAAATGTGAGCATCATTGTCAATTCTTTCTCTCTCTCTCTTTTGTTTTGGTGAGGAGGATTAGCCCTGAACTAACATCTGTTGCCAATCCTCCTCTTTTTGCTGAGGAAGATTGTCACTGGGCTAACATCTGTGCTCATCTTCCTCTGTTTTATGTGGGATGCCTGCCACAGCTTGGCTTTATAAGCGGTGTGTAGGTCCGTGCCCAGGCTCTGAACCTGTGAACCCCAGGCCTCCGAAGTGGAGCATGCAAACTTAACCACTGTGCCACTGGTCTGGCCCCATCAATTCTCTCTCTCTTATCTATTACTTCCTAAATATTTCTGGGGGCTGACACGGTGGCATAGTGGTTAAGTTCACGTGCTCTGCTTTGGGGGCCTGGGGTTTGCAGGTTTGGATCCTGGGCTCGTACCTGCGCACCGCTTATCAAGCCGTGCTGTGGCAGGTGTCCCACATAAAATAGAGGAAGGTGGGCGCAGATGTTAGCCCAGGGACAATCTTCCTCAGCAAAAGGAGGAGGATTGGCAACAGATGTTAGCTCAGAGCTGATCTTCCTCACAAATAAATAAATAATTCTGAATCTATACCTTTTTCTGTATCTCCATTGCCAGTCTCCTAATTCAGGCCCGTAATAACTCTTATTTGGAATATTGCCGTGATCTTTTACAGTTCTCTCTGTTTTTAGTCTTGTTCTCTTTTAAACTTGGATCATATTATCTTCAAAATGGTCTAACATAGAGATCTGGTTATTCTACTTCCCCTTCTCAAAAGTATTCAATAGTTTGCAATCATTTAAAGGTAAAATTTAAACTTTGCATAGTATTCAAGACCCCTTATCATCTTGGCCTTTGCCTTTGTATCCACCCTTACTTTTCTCTCTTATAGTTTAAACATGAGCAAATACAGTTTTTAGTTCCCAGATCTGCTTCCAAATCTCAACTGAAATGCTACTTTCTCTGGGAAGCCTTCTGTGACTTGCCCAAAGAGACTTAGATATGCTTTCTTCTTTGATCTCACTCTTAATTTATAAATATTGTTTGTCTCCCTCCAGTGGTCTATAAACATCCTGAAAGAAAAAGATACCACGGCTTTTTACTATTGTCTCCAGTGCCTAGCATGGTGCCTGTCACTTAAAAGATATTCAAAAATATGAATAATCCTGTTGGTTGAGACATCAATGCATACATTTAGAAGATGCCCCTTTTGTTATGTTCTAGGGGCAGAAGACCAAGGTTGGAGTCTTGGTTCTGCCATTTGTCATCTTTGTGACCTGGTTGAGTCACTTGAAGTCTCCAAGCCAGAATTTCCTCAATTTAGAAATGAAGATCAGTAGCTGCTTCATCTATTTTATTAGGTTTCTCTGTCAGTCAAATGAGATTATGCATGTAAAGGTGCTTTATAAAGTGTAAAGCACTGTACAATTGGTAATTATTACATGCTGATACAAGCCAAGCGTTCCTCACAACTCATTTTTTCTTGTTCATATTGATATGAGGCCTTTTCTTTTTATCATTGAAGCCATAAATACTCTTCTACAACATGAGTTCTGTTCATATGCATTTTCATCAGAGTAGGTGTAGCGTACTCCTGTATATCATCGTAAATGTGGCACATTTAAAGGCTTTCCCAAATTCTAGTGGATAAAAGAGGTTGCAAAATCCTGGGAAGTTACACTTCTCAAGGAGTTTCTCAGTTGTGAATTCTGTAATTTTTTTCTCAGATTTTAAAAAAATTTGCATTTTTGCAACTTTCAGAACTTTTTTTTTTTTTTAAGAACTTTTTTTGTGTGTGTGAGGAAGATCAGCCCTGAGCTGACATCCGTGCTAATCCTCCTCTTTTTGCTGAGGAAGACCGGCTCTGAGCTAACATCTATTGCCAATCCTCCTCCTTTTTTTTTCCCTCTAAAGCCCCAGTAGACAGTTGTATGTCATAGTTGCACATCCTTCTAGTTGCCGTATGTGGGATGCGGCCTCAGCATGGCTGGAGAAGCGGTGCGTCGGTGCGCTCCCGGGATCCGAACCTGGGCCACCAGTAGCGGAGCACGCGCACTTAACTGCTAAGCCACGGGGCTGGCCCCTGCAACTTTTAGAACTTAAAAGGAATTTTTAAAATGTAACTATAAACTCATTTGTTGAGCACTTTGTGTAAAACTTTGTACTATTTTTTTTCATAATTTTCCATACCTTTTATTTTTTATTTTATTTATTTATTTTGGGAGGAAGATCAGCCCTGAGCTAACATCTGCCAGTCCTCCTCTTTTTGATGAGGAAGACTGGCCTTGGGCTAACATCCATGCCCATCTTCCTCCACTTTATATGGGATGCCGCCACAGCATGGCTTGACAAGCGGTGCATCGGTGCGCGCCCGGGATCCAAACCCGGGCCTCTGCAGTGGAGTGCGTGCACTTAACCACTACACCACCAGCCTGACCCCAAGCTTTGTACTATTTTAATTCTTATAGTAACTCTGTGAGGGAGATATAATAGCCATTTTACAGATGAGAAAACTCAATTCTAGTTGTCATTTTGCTGGAATCTCACAGGTTAGTAAAAATGGTGAATCCAGTATTATTGAACAGCTCTGCCTGACTCCACGAGTTGTGATCTTATCATTCTCCTAAGTCTTGTCCTGCCCTTAAAAAAAAAAAAATTCACCTCAGTATTAATAGGTCTTATGTGAAAAAAGTTGTGTGCTCGTGAAAAAAGTTGTGTGTTCAAGGGGGCCGGCCTGGTGGCATAATGGTTAAGTTTGTGTGCTCTGCTTCGGCGGCCTGGGGTTCATAGGTTCGGATCCCAGGCGTGGACCTATGCACCGCTCATCAAGCCATTCTGTGGCAGGTGTCCCATGTAAAGTAGAGGAAGATGGGCATGGATGTTAGCCCAGGGCCAGTCTTCTACAGCAAAAAAGAGGAGGATTGGCAACAGGTGTTAGCTCAGGGCTACTCTTCCTCACACACACAAAATTTTTTTTTGTTGTGTGGTCAAATAGGGTTTTTGAAAATTCCGTGTTAAATTAAGTTAAGGCATATTTCTTTACAGCATGACCTCCCAGAGCCTTGCAAGTCTAAATAGGCATTGTACATTGGGAGCAGTAAACGAATGGCTAAAGGATACAGAGCTTCTCAAAATTATTTGGCCATTAAGAACAACTTAGGGCACTAGTGATTTATCTCACTGAATGCTTTGAGAATACTGTGCTTTCTTATTCTGCTTTCCTGTAGTTCCTCTATGGGTTGAATTTTTTTAAAGGGTTGTCACTCTGAAATGAGGGAATTGACTGCTTTTGTGTGCTGGTTTTCCGGAGAACTAGTATGGTGGCATTAGGCCAGATATTTTTTAGAAACTTCCCTGGTATGGATGCTGTCTTTTTTTCCTCTCTGAATCTTCTAAGGCAAATGGCACAGTTCATCCAACTTGGCCCTCACCTTCAGTGAGTTCCCAGGAGGATAACTGTAACTGAGCTGCTGCCCTGCCTTCTTTCATCTAACGTGCTAGAAGCAGGAGAGTGGAGTTTCAACTTTGTGAGTGAGCAGAAACCCTTGAGCCAGTAACAAGAAGCCCTTCCTTTCTGTAAAGATGGTAGTATCACACTGAGAAATCTATAAATCCCATCATTCTTTCTCTTCTGTGAGACATGCAGACCGATCTGGAGATCAGAGGAGAGAAGGAACAATACCTTTGAATTTTCAGTCCTTTAAAGGTGATATGTTGGTCTTGAAATTAAAACAAAACAAAATTTGGGAAATTTGTCCCATATTGTTTAAAGTCATAAAGATTACCTGAATGGTATTTACCCCTGAATTCCAAACTTTTATCTCGTTATTTGAGCTACTGGTGAAAAATATTGAAAATATTTCCTTAGTAGGATAACATTTTTTGGAGGGAGGGGCAGTTTTCTAATCACTCTATTACATTTATATGGCTAGATTGATGTGTTGCTATCAGAGGGTGAAGCAATTGGTTATGTGTATTGCTACTGCCTCGAACAGGTTGGCTGAAAGACCCTATATTAGGTTCTATGGAAATTTTTTTTTTTATAATTTTATTTATTTATTTTTTTCCCCCAAAGCCCCAGTAGATAGTTGCATGTCATAGTTGCACATCCTTCTAGTTGCTGTATGTGGGACGCGGCCTCAGCATGGCCAGAGAAGCGGTGCGTGGGTGCGCACCCGGGATCCGAAGCCGGGCCGCCAGCAGCGGAGCACGCGCACTTAACCGCTAAGCCATGGGGCCGGCCTGGTTCTATGGAAATTTGATGTGAATAGCGTGACATACTTTCCGTGTATTAGGGTTTGGCCTATATTAAGTGTACATGAATAAATTAATATGTTCTTCTGGTGTCATTCTTTTCTTATTTTATAATTCAGGTAGTAAAGAATGCTCAGTTTCTCAGCTAAGTGCATGGTGAATTTGAAAGTTTTGGTTTTTTAGAGTGTTTTAAATCCAGATATTTTCTGCCAAATGAATGGAAACTAGAATATGGGTCTCTTACAACCCCAAGATCCAATCCTGTTTTCATTAGTCTGCATTTTTAACTCTTCATCCTCTGCTTTGAGAGCTATTTCCCAGTGGAATTCTGTATAAAACATTAATGCTGAACTGAAAACTTTCAAGGAATATGGGTGACTGGAAAAGGATCTTTTACAGCTATGTTTTGCAGTGGACAGAAGCATTTTAAAAATAGCAAGTGCATCTTGGAAAAACTTTGAAGATTCAGGGGAATAAGTCTTCGCTAGCCTAAGTAGTGGTGTAAAAATTTCTTTGAAATCTAATTACTATACATAAATAGGTACACCTGTTATGAACTGTTTTGATTGTTGCATTCCTTGTACTACCAAGGCCTTGATGTTTATTTGTTATTAAATTGTAGGTTCGTAGTTTTGTCACATAATAGAGTAGTAGATTTCACAGAAGAGTATAACCAAGGTTAGAATCTGGGTAGTCTTCATTTCCAGATTAAACCTTCTATTCTGGCTGGCTGAATACCTGATGATATTCACAAGAGGGAGTTAAATACAATATGATAGGGCCGGCCCCGTGGCTTAGCGGTTAAGTGCGCGAGCTCCGCCGCTGGCGGCCCGGGTTCGGACCCCGGGCGTGCACCGACGCACTGCTTCTCCGGCCATGCTGAGGCCGCGTCCCACATACAGCAACTAGAAGGATGTGCAGCTGTGACATGCAACTATCTACTGGGGCTTTGAGGGAAAAAATAAATAAAATAAAAAAAAAATTAAAAAATACAATATGATAAAGTTGTATCAAAAAGTAAAACTTAAAAGTGTCTGAAGTTATGTGTGACTTTTGTGCTGTCTTCTGGATTCAGTTGGGCTGAGGGTATGAAAACAACTGTGTAAGGGGTACTGTTATGGTGCTGAGAGGTGTTAGAGGGGAATGATGAGATTTTTACTCATTGTTTTATAGCTTTATGAATTAACTGAAGATGGTTTTGGAAATTGGCATTTTAATTTTGTTGTTACTGGGGCTACTTAGCACATTTTCCGTGTGCT